TGAACCATTTACGGAGCTACCCAATAGCTTGGAGAGCTCTTCCCTCGTTGTTTTGTATAATAATTCTCTGCATTCTCAGGTCAGAAAAGGGGGAAAGTCAATGATTTGACAAATTTATGGAAATAAAATGTACTGTGACAGAGCGTGTATTATAATTTTGCACAGCTCCATTGCCCCCCCCCCCCGTGCGCACTACTACTGCATCCGGATCCACCAATTCCTTCTTTTGAAGTACCTGAAGTGATCAACAAAATAGAGTTTGCAGAAATGAAAGTGAGGATATTTTGTGGGCAAATCTGTACCACTTGTAAAAGACACCGAGACAAAAGCTAACTGTCGAACCAAATCAATAAAATCTCGTGGGTAATCTCGAATGGAAATCAGTTCCACAAAAGAAACATGCTTTATGGTTGCTGAGTAAAAGAGTAAATAAAAGAGTACAAAGAATGACGAGTTCCTTTTGCAACCTTACCTTGTAAAAGGGCTAATTCTTGATGTCCATAAAGAAATTCATAAAGGAAATGTTTTTGCTTCAAAATAGCATGCTTCATAAAACTGGAGTATGTAATGTAATTAAGAAAATTTCTAAAACTGTGTATAGAGTTGGTTCTAATTTTCTATTAGCAATATATTATAACTTTTAGGAGTTTGAGTATTTTATTGAAAATAACACATTCATATTGTCAAACATTTTATTTTTTATTGAACACAACATGTTATATCCAGATTTTTGAATTGTTTCTTAAATAATTTGTCATCTTTTTAATGAGTAAAACCCCATCAAGTACATTGAATATCGATTTTAAATCCATAATTAGACATTAAATATCAAAAAGTCTTGAGTACCGAGTCAAGAGAGGCACGAAGTTTATTAGTGAAAACAATAGACTCTAACAACAGAAAACAGAAATGCGATCTAACAGTGCAAATACTTTTTAATCTCTTTAACAAGTATCATATTGCATAATATAATCTTTGTTATTTTTTAAATATCATTATATTGTATGTACATTAGAAAAGTCTGAACACTTGTTTTAAATATATGTAGTATATAGTATATATCTTCATTTACAATCTTGAGATTAAAGAGGTTGGTTACATAGATTCCAGTGCCACTGATGCGGGGACATTAGGTGGCAAGGTTGGCAGGATGACCAGATGCTAGCTACTACTTTGATCTAGAATTTGTGGAAGACCGAAAGTTCTAGTTCACTCCATCTGCACTTTAAAGACAGAGAATATAACCAGACCTTTGGAGAGATATAGGGAGCTTCAGCAATCTTTGGCTGCTGAAACTCTGCATACTCATTATCACCCTGTTTGCATCGAGCTGATACTGATTTTTTCTATGTCCCTAATTCAAACATCTCTTGCATATTCTGATTTTCATTTCTAAAAATGTTGTATTAAATAATTGAACGAGGAAACCAGAAAGTGAACACTTTCTTGCAGATACTTGATGTCATCATCACTGAATCAAATCACTTGCAGGATGCTATTTTAGGATGACCAGAAGTCCTCAACTTTTTTCAGGAATTTCAAATTTTACCTATGAATACTAATGTTAATAGAGATCATAAAAACTGTTATATGAAAAGGACAACTAGTTAATTTTCTTACTTATAAAACAGTGTATCACTTTGTATTTAGCACCTAAATGTTTTTAAAGTAGTGTACAGTTCCATTCAAAAAGTGGCACTGGTTATCATCTCCATAAACGCTGTCAGTTTCACAAGAGGAAACTGAAGCATTTTAATTATTTTCTACAACTTTGTTAGTGTTATGCAGATTTCACTCTTGTTCCTGGGCATCATGTGCCACATTTTCAGAAGGGCTGTACCTAACATACCAGGTGAAAAGCAGATAAAGCTTAAGGGGGAGGAGTCTAAATCCAAGTGTTCAGGCTTCATCTTTGGAAATCTAGTCATCCTATGTTAATTTGATTCACATTTATCATGATAAAAAGAGGTTATTAACTTTATCTTTGTGCGAATTGTGAGCCTCGTACACCAACCTAGATCACAATAATCTATTGTTCTTTTTATAAGAACTCACTAAACTATCAGTCACGCAAGCAGTAGTACAAACTTCTATATTCTTAAAGTGAAAACAAATTAATAGAAATCTATACTTTACTTATGGCTGTTTGATGCCATGAATAATTTTTTATTAACAAAATTTCAAATTGGTCATTTTAAACAATTGGGAAAACTGAAGACTTTTTCCATACCACGTTTCAAAAATGTCAATTTCAGAGAGATTCTGCTATGTTTAAACATGTATTTAATAAAGTATAGGCCGAAATATCAAATATAATTAATAAACTGCAAATAAAATATAATAAAAATATAATTGTAATTGTGTGTTGTATAATACAACAATTGGGATCAGAGGTCGCTTCTTTTTGGTTGTGGATGGTAAATGGAGCATTTCAGACCTATTTTCTAACGGTTTCAGATAGTTGCCTTATCTGGTCACCCCGATGTTGGACATTTCATATTGAACACTTTGATGTTTCTTTCAATAGTACAGCTAGCAAGATTTTAGTGGTTACAATATTATTGTTTAGAAGCGCAAGGGAAGTAAATATATAATGGCTGCATGAATGTACAATTGAGATGTGTTCTCAGGGGAGTGCAGTATTTTGAGGTTATATGAAGCAGATGCTTAAAGTATACTGTGTAGCATAGGTTTCATAGGGAGAAGCTGCCAATTTCATTAGAAATTATATTTTGGATCTTTAAACTCATCACTCACATATTTGCCTTCACTCTTAAGCTGTGATTTTCAACATTTCTGATTAGAAATGTGTTGTTACTAGTTTTTTTTTATATAAATAGGCCTATATATATATAGCAAATTAATGGATAATATTACTTCTTTCACACATTCAGATCACTTAGCTTAACCTTAACAAAATAATTTGGCAGCTCCTTGTAGTAGAAATATTGCATTTAGGATCAGTTAACTGACTCTATTAGATCAGGTGGAGGTAATTTTTGGGGTGTAAGGGAACATGGTTCATGTTGAAAAGCCAACCGATATCTTTCATACATATTGTTTTCTGGGTTTTATATATTCCCCAAATGTTCTAAATATGTTTACCTAAAGAATCCTAACTGTTTTCTAGGATTCCTAACAAGAATCGGATCCTATGAAAAATTTTATTACTGGAGTACTGTTCGCCTAAATGTTTTACACAAAGGACCAATAGAAGATTGTCAGCTGTTATATCATTTTGTGTAATACATTGAGTGGATTACATGAATTAAATGGAAAGAGATTATGTTTTCTACTAGTATAATGTTGTTTACTTACACATTTTTACAATTTTGATGAATTTTTGTGAGGATAGTTATTTATGATATCATGTTCTCTGTCACCCCCACCTTTATCTGAGTCGAGCACAGTGCAGTGTGTGTGAAATGTAGAAGTTATAGAAGTCACTGTTTCAATTAATCAAGGTTTTGAAGTATTTGGGCATTTGACATTTACAATATACATACATTACTCACTAAAACATAAATATATACTAACATCTGCATTAAAATTTACTCTCTGACACAAAGCAGTTGAACAGTGCAAATGTGTGCTCTATATTAAATGTTTTTTTTAAACAAAATTACATTATCTCTGAACAGGCAAAAGAAAGTTTGGGAAAGGCAATACTCGTACCTCTGAAGAAGTTTAGTCACAAATCACATATAAAAATATATCTCACAGTAATTGTAACCAGCTGAAACCACATATTCGAGCAGATACCCATATGAACAATCATAGGCAAACAAATACACAAATTTGACTACCAGTGTGTAAATATGTTGTTAGCTCGCTAAATAAAATAACAGCTTTACAGGGTACAGAAAGGATTTGTGAGGATATCTTAACATAATTCTCATAACAGATATTCCATTTGATACACAAATGACTGCAGAGGACAACTTAATAGTCCAAGGATTTTTTATTCTACAGGTGTTGCATGCACTTTTGAAATGTACTAGGGCATATATTATGGTAGGTAATAAGTTATTGAGAGATTTTGAAGGTTTGCTTTCACTTTGCTCCAATAAATTACTGTAGGAGTAGAAAGAGTGATACTCTTTTTATAGGGTTTATATTTTAATTTCTTAAATTTAATTCAGTTGAATTTGCTTACTTCTGGGTCAGAAATCACTGTAGTTCACATTACCCATTGTATATACGGAATGCATGGAAGAAACATGGATGATACTACTTTGAGTCTTCACAACACACCAAAGCAATAAATGTAATAATTTAAACATATAGTACTTCAAATTATGCAGTAACAATAAACTGTGCTTCGCTCACTATAAAGTCTCTTGGTAATTTCAGTTCCCCGCCAAGCATTGGTTAAACTTTGTACATTGCAATGGCCTTGATAAATTGTATGTATCTTGGAGGTCAAATTATCTAAATAGTCTCTGTGATTTTCCCGAATCAACACAACCAAAATTCATTTACAACGCAACGATTTGTAATTCCATTGAGCTTTTCAGACAACCAAACACACTCGAGGCCAAAATGATTCTGCGCGAAGCTCCGCAACGCAGATACTAGATACTGAACTAATGAGAACTACTAGTAAAACTGATACGAGGCAATCCGTGCCCCTTTATAGTCACGTAAAAGTTTTGACCTCTCTGGTGTCTATTTTTACCTGACATTTGGTCTAATTTCAGAGGAGACTATATACAGTTCACGGTAGCACAACCATTCATTTATGATAACAGCGAAGTGTAATATCTGTCACATCTTCGCGCAGTGTTTTTTTTTCCACAGTAAAACACGCATTCACCGACACGTATTCACATACTACTTCGCGAGAGCGAAGAGCAGAACAGCGCATATTTAGTAGATAAGCAAAGACATACTTTGTGGCCACAACATTTATATGAAACAGAAAGCGCCGACAGATTAGATTGTTGTAGAGCGAGAGAACGCGAGGGACTGGCGTTGCCAGCAGGTCAGATCGTCCACACCTGAACCTTCTCGGCCACCACGCACCAATTGGCGTGGTCGTAGTAGGACGAGATAATGTGCAGGTTTTCCACGTAGCGCTCGATGAGCTGGTCAAGCTCGCCTTCTCGGAACACATGGTAGTAGCGGTGGAAGGTGATGGCGCCGCCGCCGTTGTCGGAAGGCAGCGACTCCTGCGACGTGGAGCCGCTGAGCGACGACGCGCAGCTCTCTGTCTTGGTGAGCGTCTCGGGAGGCTCCTGGCGCACCAACATGGCGCGTGGCGGTGGCAGCGGCGCCTCTTCCGACGAAGAGCGGCCGTCGCAGCGCGCCGTGCGCCGGTCCGCGTAGCGCACGTCGCGGCTGCAGTCGGAAGAGCCGGCGTCGCTTGACTCGGGCCCCAGCGACGCCGTACTCGCCGTCTTGCCCGACCCGGACGCCGTGTCGCCCGCGTCGCTCGACTCGATCGAGTAGCCCGGACGCAGGCTGAAGGATCCCTTAGGCTTGTCGGCGTCGCCTTCGGGCGCCGCGGCGGTCGACGTCGTCGCTTCCGGCGGCGCACACGCCGACTCCTCTTCGGGCGCGCCGACCGCCTCCGCTTTGTCTGACGCGGGCACGGGCTGCTCCTCCACCTCGGGGTTCTGCGCTGCCACCTCCGGCTCCTCCGCCTCTTCCAAGCACGTCTCCAGGTCCTCCGTGATGTCAGCACTCGTCTGGCGGGAGTAGGACTCGGTGTAGGCCAAGTCCATCTGCTGGTTGACGTCGCTGGACTCCAGAGCGCTCGATGACAAGCGATCGCTGAGGAACTGCTCGCTGCTCACACTGATGTTTACGTCGAACTCTGGATGGTCTTCGATCCTGTCGGGCACGGTCACATTGATGTCTTTGAGCAGCTCGTGGTCGAGGAAGTCGGGCGCGCCTAGACTGGGCGTCTTGGGCGACACGGAGTCGGTGGCGGCGTCCCGCTTGGGCCTCCACGCGGATATGTCCTGCAGGGACAGTTCTAGGCCCTTCGAGGCGGCCATTGACGACGTTTCGTTGAAGGTGGCAATATACGAATTCCTCCTCTGCAACTCTTCACTGAGCTTGGTGAGGTCCTCGAGTTCCTCGCTCAGCCGAGAGAGATAGGGGTCGTCGATGTGTTCGTAATCCTCAGGTAGGCCCGCGTACGTCTTGTTCCGTGGCGACGGGCGCGAAGGAAGGGGTTGGCACGTCTGGCGACGGTACTGGTCGATCTCTTCGAGCAGCTTTTCGCTGAGTTTCTCCGCAAAGTCGGCCAGGTGTTGGCGGCAGCTCTCGTCCCAAGACTCGTGGCCGCCCGTTTCGTCTTGCAGAGGGTCTACAGCCAAAGTGGCGGTGGCTGTGGAGGTGGTGATGGTGGTGGCGGTGGTGGAGGCGACGGCGGTGAGGGAGGCGGTGGCGGCGCGGCGGGGCGATGCCCGTCGGCTGCTGTCGACGCTGCCGGCCCACCCGCGACTGCCCCTCCGCTCCACCACCGGGCTCGCGCTGTTGCCGCTCCCGGACAGCAGGTATTTACTGGCCGGCGTAGGTTCTCCGGGCGAAAACTTGCCGAAGCTCTCGGAGCGCAGCAGGCTGCCGCCGTACGCGCCCTGGATGAGGCTCATGGGGTCGGCGGCCTCCATGAGCTGCAGCTTGCGCCGCCGTGCGCGCGGGCTGGACTGGATGACGGCGTCCACGGCGTCCTCGAGCGAAGACGCCACGTCCGCGGCCGCCTCCAGGAGGCTGTGCGAGGAAGGGGAGACTCGAGGCTCCGCGGGCGCCGAGGTGATGGCGCCAGCGGAGGTGGAGGCCGCCCCGGCAGCGGCTCCGGTGGCTGCTGCCTCCGCCAGCGGGGCCGCTTCCTCCTCGGCGGCGCACAGGTCCAGCACGAGGTCTTCCGAACTGGTGCGCACGATCTCGGGCGCGCGTGGCGCTGGTGGAGGCGGTGGCGACGGCCATGCCTCTGCTGGAGGATGGCCTGCGTCCTCCGATACCGCTTCCTCGCTCCTTGCTCCGTCTGAGGGAATACAATATTTATCTTAATAATTTTGGTGTGTTCATCTACCCACCAAGCAATTTTTGCACAATATGTTTGTAAACAAAAAGAAGACATATATTTTAAGATTGTATAAACACAGAATAAGGAGCATCCATGTCTCTTTCAAGATAATTATAATTTGACAACTGATGAATATTATTACTACGTCGAGAGTTATAGTTATAAATATCAGCGATTGCTGAAAATATATTCCTGCCCTAAGTAAGTCATTTTTAACAAAAAAACACTGATTCATATATGAAGAGATAAAGTAATGATTAGATACCGAGATTAATAAAGAGACACTTACAAGGATCACGTGGGTGGGATTTGCGTATAATTCGTACAATGATTTTTTGTAATCTAAAAGCCTGGGCGCATGAAGAAGTTTTTCCCCAGAATATTACACCTTATCTCAGGTGGGAATGAACATACGCGAAATATACACACGACCGGTATGAAGGAAGACTGAATTTGAAAGCATTCTGAAAGCGCAGCATAAAGAACTTAATTTAGTGTAAAATTCATTTTAATGGATGTTCCATTTAAGGTTTGACTGAACTGAAAGACTTAAAAATGTTGTTACCTTAACAACAGTCAATGGCACACCGTTCATTTTCAAATTGCCAAAGGATCGGAAAGGTGTGTACATAAAGTTTCAGTATTCCAGTAAGATATTTCAACTCTCTGAGATCGTTGTTTAAGGTACGAACATAATCAATCTAGAGCAACACCACGAACTCCATATGAAGGTAATTTTGAGAGTAAAATGTTAAGTTCAATGACGTCACAATATTTTGAGAGTTCTCGAAATATTCCAATAGGTGCTTGTTTTGATCCATGGATGAGGCGACATCTTTAAGAAAAGAAAATATGGTTGTTTTCATAGATTTTGATTGTCGAAACCCATGTTGGCAATCTGAAAACGCGTGTATTTTACAAAGTAAGGTTTCCATTCGTACGTAAAAACCTCTCTAATGTTTTTGAAAATAACTGACAAAAGAGAAATTGGGCGATAATTTTGAATTTCATTTTTGTTTCCTTTTTTAAAAGCGGCTTTTTCTTAGCTTTTTTAAAAATGCATAAAAAAATTGGGAGAAATACAAGAAACTCAGATAGAGCAATAAGCAACTAGCTTAATATTTTGAAAGTGTAAGATGTATATTAAAAAATTAAAAATTATAATTCGATAAAGTACATTTACATTAATTTTGAAAAGAAAATATTAATATATCAGAAGAAATGTTAACCGCATAAAACAATTCTCAGGATGTTGGAGAAAGTATTTCTAGTATACTGTCGTTACCAAACCGTGAAGCATTAATTATTAACAAATTACATTTTTATAGGGGCAACTTGAAATTATATCTATGCCAAACACAAATATTCACTTAACATTTAGTTTATCTACCTCAGTGTGTTGAACATTTATAGATGCAGACGTGCATTTTAAGTATATTACCTTAGAAATCTACAAATTTCAACTATGATAAGACCCTTATGTCATATAAAATGAGCCGTAATAAGCCATAACTTTTCAACGATTATGTCATTTTACAATAGGTTAATTAACGTTTGGTGGTTGATAAGTTTTACTCGTAACAAAAACGAAAATATGAACATTTTTTCTCATGTACCACGTTTCTTATCACAACTCCATCCCAAACGACGCCAACGCAAAGCTTCCATCTCTAGGCTGCCTTGCTGCTACACAATGTTATTCTTAATGCCATCTAAAACATCAGACCTATTGGGAAGCGGAAATCGTGCTTCTAACTTCACTACTTATAGTCATAACATTACATCGTGGCAAAACTGTGGTCTGCGTTTGAATCAGTGTGAACTGTGAAAGTCGTGTGTAGAAATTCTTGAGAACAGTATTTTTTAACCATTTTATGGCGTAATAATATTTATGATTTAAATTTGTGTCAACAGAATATATTTGTACCAGAGCAACTTTGATACAGAGAAGTTCTTGCTACAATTTGTAAAAACGTTTAGAAGTATGGGTTACGTGAAGTTGTCGTGCACTTCCACTTTGAAGTTGCTTTCCACAAGATTCAGCACCACCAAAGTGGAGAAAAATCCAGACGATGCATTATTGTGCATAGGAAAGAAACAGTTTGTAGAATGAAAAGGACAAGACTGTGGTGCACTTAATGGATTAAATATTCTTGAAGGCAAATGTTGACCATAAAGGAGGAAGTATAGTTGGAACTGCCATTAATGAAGAGGAAAATTCATCATCAGCTTGGGTGATAATGGTAACTAGTATGATTTTATCATATAAAGATGTAGTTCATATATTTTCCATCAGAAAATTGACAGATGAGTTGCTAAACCATTGTATCAAAATCATATTTGTAGGGCTTGAAAAGATTGCTTTTAGAGTAATTTCTGACAATTCTGTGAACAGAAAAGCCATGTCATTGTTTTCCGATCCTCCAAAAATAGAAATAACGTATGAACGTCTATGCGAATCCCAAAGAAAATGCCTTTTTTTCTTTTGACAGTATGTACCTCTTAAAATGCTTAAGAAACAACTGGGTAAATCAAGATAACCAAGAAATAAATTTTCCTGATATATGTTATCCACGCAGCATAATTTAGTTGCCTCAAAGATATGTGCCACTGTGAGACGAAGCACAATATTTGGCAATACTTTAAATTTAAAATCGTTCATCCCTTAAATTTAAAAGCGTTCATCCCTTTGGAATTAAAATTAATAAAATACGATAATTTATTGCAAAAATTTATTTCTGTAAAACATCATTATTAAGGCGGCGAAGAAGGTAATTAAACGTTGACGGACAGTGAGCAGTCGGCGAAAGATTCGTTTGCCGCAATGACTACCCATGTGACGTCACATTGTCAGTCGACAGGCCTTATACTAGTGTGTAGGTGGCATTGGTTATTATGTCATTTGAAATTTTAATTCTTACATTTAAAGTAGGCCATGCTCATGTCATCAGTAGAAGATGAACTTACTTCATTTTCCATCCTGATATTAACGTGAGTTTGTACAAACATCAAATTAGAAGTATATAAGGTAATTAATATTCTGTTCATTTTATTTAATATTGGAAGGACGTAATTTGTCTAAGGATCATTTAAGTAATTTCTCTCAATTTCTGTAAATTTTTAAATTTAAAAAATGTATAAAAATTAAGATAACTTTTCTGTTGACAATGTGCTTCAGAGTGTATGGAAGACGAAGGTTTTAATTTCTGGTAATGGTTTGTACAACTAGGTAAATGCAATACACTGTTTTACCAGTTGTTTGCAGCAGTAAAAATGCGTTTGAACAAAACCACACAAAATAGTTTTCCAAAACGTAGCACGCACACTGCTCCACAGCGACAAATAAAATACTCTCTTATAAGACTGCAGTAAATGTAATATTTTAAGAAAATCAGGCTTTATAAATACTGCAATAACATAGTAGTATATACAATATAACAGTTCTTTATATATTTAATAGCATGTAGCCTCTTCTTTGAAGCTTTGCTGTCGTATGACATCACCTGTGTGGTAAACAGTTACGAAATTAGTATTATGATTCAGTTGGTAGGCGCAGTATAACACAAGGAAGAATAACACACTCCAATATTTTTATTCGAAACTAAGTGTTTTTGAATTTTACCAAGTTCTGGACATATAACAAAACCATGGACACTTTTGGTATCGCCGGATTCTACTCAGTTTTCTTTCAACTTCTGAGTGCATTGGAAATAAGTAATATTGCTTATTTTAGGGGGAAAATGTGGAAGATACTTTATACTAATAGTTATTTCTTTTTAGCAGTGGTATGGCAAGATCTCGAGATAAAGATAAGCACGAATCAGAATTTTGTGTAGAATTTCCTGTAGTGCCTGTACGTCAAAAGAAGATTTTGGACAAATTGGTAAATGTTTAAAAAAAAGTAATTTAAAGTGGCTTAGATACTGAATCATTCAGGTGAAGAATGTGTCACCAATATAGTACCTATGTTTATCACAGGCCTACCTGTCGAAACCTGGCTAACAGTACGAATTGTAACTTTATTTAGTAAATTTTATGACAAGCAAGGTTACATTCAACTATTCTGCCCATTTATAATGGGAAATAAACATACCCAAAAAGTAAAATGTTTAGCCTTCTTTATCATTCAATGAAATAAAGCGCACGTAATTTTATGAACACGCGACAGGGTTTAAAAATAAGCTCATCTTGTAGGTATTTGTTTTCTGTTCCTGTAAATGTTGTTTCTTCCAAACCTATATTCAACTCGAAATATTTTGTTTCAAAACCACTCAAGGGAATCTTCGTTACTTCTTATGTAACAGGCACGTTGCAGTTACTGTGGACGCTTGTGCTGTTGTATCGAGCATTGCCTGGTTCATGAAAGTAAACATTCACAGTCTGAACGCGAGAGAAAAGGATTGTGTGGTCTTAAAATACCGTAAGATAATTATATATCAATGTTTATATAAAATTAGCGTATGAAATATTTTGATACGTAAATTCCCATTAACTGTTGTGATCAGCAAATGGAGATGACAGAATTTTTACTAAATTCTGTAATTGAATAAGTTGGTAGTTCTGACGTACTGTTCAAATTGTGTATTATATCTTCCTTCGTGAATGTAACCAGGTTAATTTTTGATTATCGCGATATTTTGATTTGAATCTAGTCAAGGGAAAGTGAGTCAGAATTGATCAAGATGTTCAAATTTTTAAAACGTGTATTTGTAATAGTTTGGCGCATCGCATTTTCAACTATATTGTTGCCTTATGACTCTACACCATAGAGAAAAATGTTTTCTACTATTTAGATGCAAATTCAGCTAGAATAATATTTAAAACTACGATCTCTATTTGGGAATCACATTTATAGTGCATTTGGGTATTTTTCCATTTGTGATTTCAGGTAAGATATGCGCAATTATAACTACCTGAATTTGCGGGAAATAGAAGATATTATAAATTCAAATGAATTT